TTTTATGATAGTTTTGCAAGTTTTCAAGAAAAACCAATTATTTGTCAAGCTATCTAAATATTCTTTTGGGTTGTAACAAGTGGACTATTTGAGTCACACTATATCAAGTAGTGAAGTTTCTCTATGGATCAAGAGAAAGTTCAAACAATGTTACGATAGCTAGTTCCAATTAATTTGAAGTAGTTAACTAGCTTTCTTGGTCAATATTCATTAAGAGGCATATTTCTTTAACTTCACCTTTATTAAATATTTCTTTTAAAAAAATATAATTTTAATCGGATCAAGCTACTAGAGTTGTCAATACAAACACTCCGACCCAATCTAGCCTAACCTTACAAGCCAAGTAAAAAAAAATTGATAGTCCAATTTGACCTATATTTAAAACATACCATAATTTGTAGGTTAACCTAGACCTATGTTAAGCCAACAAACCAACCTATAAAAATGTGAATGTGTTTATACCAAAACAATTAATTAAAAACTATTTAAATAAAAATAAAATAATATATTTTTAAAATTTTAATTATATTAATGAAATTAGTTTTTATTTAAGATTAATGATTTAATATATAAATTATAAAAGAATGGATCTATTCAATATCAAAATAAAAGTTAAAAAATTATTTTTTGTTATCATCATTCTTATTTTAGTAATTTATCTATTTAAAATAGTAATTAATTTTAATCATTAGATCTTTTAATAAATGGTTGTCGCTACCGTCAAAACGAGGCGGTCGGAGCGACGCGATGGTTTCGACTTTCCAATTTTCGCGTTTTTATTGGTGTGGTTACAACGCCTTTAGGTTGTCCGATAACCTGGCTGAACCTAGGGGCAAGGTTTTCGAAAAGGCGCTCTTGGATTGTCTGATAACCGGGCTAACCCAATAACTAATTTTGAAGGGTTCTTCTGGAGTCACCACCGATGTTTTTACTGGAAACATCGGAAAAGGGGTGAAAAGGCATTGGTTTTCGAAAAACCAACTTTGGTCATTAGAACCAGAGTTGGGTAAGGGAGTTAGTTATGTGTAAGGGAAGTGTTAGTTCCCTTACGACGCCTCTTTCGGGTTCCCTATGATAGGCCAGCTATTTTAAATAAGTAAATCGGTGAAAATACGCTTTTACCCTTTATTTGTGGAATTTGGAGTTATGACTACATGGCTCTAATATCTACTACGTAATTTAAAGATAAAGCAGTAAAGAGAGAGAAAGAATGTAGAAACCTCCGAGGCAAGATTTCAATTAATTTCTTGACAATTTGGGTGCTTTTTGACAACCCTTCATTCTCTACAGCGCCGGAAACCTCTCAAAAACGCTATAAAAACTCTTAGAGACTCTCAGAAAACTACGGAAATGCTTCGGAGGGGTTCTAGGAAGAGAATTTTATGAAGTGACAAGAGAGAGAATGGAAGAACGGTGTGAAATGAGGGGAATGGTGTGGCTATTTATAGGGATTCGTGCCTGTCAGGTCGAGACGGCCGTCTCGTCTGATATGGTCGAGACGGCTGTCTCGCCACTTTCGCAAGGCGAGACGGCGGTCCCGAATATGAGACGACGGTCTCGACCCAAAAAGGCGAGAATCCTTATTTACATGCCGAAAATCCCTCCTATCCTAGTATGGGGCCTAATAGTCTCTCCTAATGGCTTCTTAGGCTTCATCCATCTTCGAATAGAAGCTCTTCTGGTCTTTATTATGAGGCCGGACAAGATTTGGGGTCTACAATGGTTATTAGAAACTTATCGCATATTTATTTATTCTTAGACTAAGTGAATTTCTTATCAAATTAATTTTTAATACATATGTATTTTTTTAATAAAATAATAATATTATTCTTTTATTTTAAACAAATAATAACTATTCTATAAAATGAACCAACTCATAAGTCTACAAGTTAACTAAACCTAAGCCCATGTAAGTCATGACCTAAATAAGTTAGGCCAAAATATGTATCATTCAATTTAGGTCGCCTAGCTTGACTTATTTTTTGAACCTTTTGGGTCGATCTATCGGACTAAACCTATTTTTGACAACTCTACACGCTGTTGTCGAGACTTTCGTAAAAAATGAAGGAAGCTATTACTAAAGCACCTGTATTGGTCTTATCAAGTTTTTCTATGCCTTTTGTCCTTGAGACAAATGCCTCAAATATTGATGTAAGGGCTATGTAAAGCCAAAATATCATCTCATTGTCTTCTCTTTGAAGAAGTTGACACCAAGACTACAACAATAATCGACATATGCTTAAGAATTTTATTTTATTACTAAGTCTATTGAAAAGTTTAGATATTATTTGTTTGTTCACATGTTTGTTATTAAAACTAACCAAAATTGTTTTACGAGCTTAATTAATCAAAGATTACATACTCTTGAGTAACAAACTTGACTCCATAAGATTTTGGGATTTGATTTCACAATTGAATACAAACTAGGAAAGGAAGATGTTATTGTTGACTCCTTATCCTGATCCATTTTAATGGTACGGTCTTAACACAAATTGAAGATTCTATCTACCCTTGATAATGCTATTGTGTAAGAGCAAGATTAAGCATACACTTAAATGAACAATTAACCCCTTCATCCTAAATATACTTGCATGATGGTTTGTTGTATTGAAAGGATCGATTTGTTATTCCACTAAACATACTTTGGTGAATCAAATTTTTCTTGAGTTCCATAGTTCTCTAATGAGATGGTATGCTAAATTAACAAAAACTTAGGCTAGAACAAAAACTTAATATAAGCATTACCTACTCTTCAGGTACACTCATGAGTCCCATATCGCATAGGAATCGAGACCAAGGTAGTTTAAATACAACATCCTCTTTTAACCCATTGATGCACCTTTTAAGGACAAAACAATGACAGGCAAGAGCTTCAAAGTGGACAATACCTCAAAAGCGAACAATACCTCTGGCATGGGAATTGACCCTAACGATGTTATCATAGCGGACATGAGGTCAGCACATACTCGTTCCTTAAACAAAACATTGGCTCCTACCATGAGACTAAGAGTAGAGTTTCGCTCCACTCATATATACTCCTTCGTCATCGACTGGGGACTTATGTTTCGGTACATTCAGGAGTCTCACATCGTTTAAAAGTTGAGGCCAAGGGTAGTTTATATACATGCTCCTCTCCTAACCCAATGAGGTGTCTTTTAAGGATAAAACTGTGACGGACAAGAGCTTTATAGTTGATAATACCTCAGACGTGAAAATTGATTCTAACGATGTTATCATAGCAGACATGACAATGGTACACTCCCGTTCCTTAAATGAAACATTGGTGCTTATCGTGGGACTGAGAGTAGAATCTCGCTCTACTCATACATATCCCTTAGTCCTAAACAGAGGGGCTTATGTTTCGGTACGCTCATGAGTCTCACATTACTTAGAGTCGAGGTCAATGGTAGTTTAAATACATCATTCTCTCTCAACACACCGAGACGCCTTTTAAGGACAAAATCATGACGGACGAGAGCTCTAAAACGGACAATACTTCATACGTGAGAATGAACCCTAACAATATTATTATAGCGGATATAAGATCGAGATATTAACGTTCCTAGACAGAACACCTACCATCCCTAAATGGACGGACAATCTAAAACTCTTAATAGATGCCTCAACCTGTATATAAGGTGTTTCACCTATGATGCTCTTAAGGATTGAGATAAGCTAAGTATTGATAACATTAATTTGGACATGACTCTCTTTAAGGAAATTTATGATCGTGATCCTCTTTATCCTAATGCAAAAGATCATACTATTGTAAGAACAATTGATTGAAAGATATCATATTCTTCTTAAATTGAAATCTAATCTCCATAAGGTTCAAACACACATGAAATAAACGAATAAAAGGTGGTATTATCTTGAATTCAAAGTTGTAGACATGATTTTGGTTAGACTGGAGTCATACAAACCAAGGTATGTTACTTTGAGAAAAAAAATCATCAATAGTTAGGCTTAAGATACTTCATGCCTCTTCCAATCAAATTCCAAGTGGCTTATAAATTACTATTATCCACTTTCACTAAAATTCATCCAATATTGTGTTTTACAACTTATACCGTCTAAAGACGATCGCACTTAGCCTTACTTATCATTATTTTGATTTTGTTCTATTAATTCAACTAGTCTAAGTATTACAATTAAGGATGATTCTTCAAGGTCAAGAACAAGTTTAAGAGCATCTAGTTATGAAGAAGGAAGAGAGAATGTCACAACTAATTTTTGGGAAGATCATGAAACCTAACAAAAAGTTTATCCTGACTTCAAGGACAGATTATAAAAGGGAAAAAATTGTCATGGATAAAAAATTAGTAAGGACAAAAAATAAATTTCATTGATGATTTTGAAAAGATAATGGAGATGGGAGATGGAAGAGGGTTATTGTACTTCCAAGATAATAAACTCATGTCTCAATAAATATGTTGTGATATATAGCTTTTCGGGGTTAAGGAGAAAGGGATATGGATAAATAACTTCTTCCCTTTGTTCCCTTCTCTTAGAGCAAATATTTATTACTTTTTGGTTCAGTATTATTGTTAGACAGTAATTTTTTCATCCTTGTACAAAATTTTCGTTCAATACTAAAAGTACATATTTCCCTTTACCATTAGTTTAGTTCTCTATATTTTATCCCCTAACTTTTAAAGCTGCCTTGCTTTATAGAATGGAAATTGTATTCAAATTTGTACTATATCAAAGGATGATTTTTATAAATCAATTAACTTCAAAATGTTAAATAATGAAACAAAAACTTTCCTGTGAAAAAAAGTTTTAGCCAACAATATTGTACATTATTTGACAGTATAATTACAAATTTACATGCAGTATTTTTTTTCTGTAGACAATGTCCTCTCATTTGTGAATGTAATAATTACAGAAGAGAAGAAAAGTAAACACCTAACAAGGCTGGTATTAGTAATAAATGGAATTTTCTGAGGCTAGACAGGTAGCCCCTCAGGTCAAAATAGAAGCTTACTAGACACTAATTCTCATGCCTGTAGTTTAGGACACACAGTAGAGCTTGATTTTGCCAAAGAACCTGCAAGAGTTATTAACATTTTAGAATATTGAAGTCTTTAATTTGATTAGTTGAACACCAGGGGAACATACTTACATATATCTGCATAGCATGGTTGTTTTGAAACAGGGTCCTCTTCAAATGTGGGTGGGGCTTGACCATACACCATATCACAACTCATGTCTTCAAAATCTGAAATTAAGTTCAGATACGCGTGATTTAAATGATCTCGCTTAATTTTTTTGTTAAGTCATATATAAATGTAATCAAGAATATGGACCTTAATTTTCGGCCAGTAAGCAAAGGCAAGAAGACATACTAGGGTTCATTGTTAAGGGAAGTCCAAATTCATTGGTGAAAAAATCTTGGGTAGGAATCTTGCACATATTCACACACATTCCAACACAGCCACTATTCTCCAGGTACCTTCATTTGTAAAAAAGAAAGAAAGACGGTGAAATTGTGATTGATTCTTTAGTGTCGGATAACTTAAGAGACAGATTTATAATTTATATTCAAATTAAAACTAACTCTCGTTATTTTTTTCATCGAAAACATGAATATGAGACTCCAAACAACATGAATACGAGATCCATCAAACGAAACAGACATGTTTGAATTAAAACATAAACGACTTCTGTGCATACGTTGAATGAGACATGAAATCTACCTGCATTTCTTTATATGGACGCCACTCTTTTGCTTCACTCCATTTACCTCTACTTCCACAACCTAGTGCATCTCAACAATCTAAATATCATCGCCAACACCATGCAATATAGCAGAAAATTTATTAAAATAATCATACATAAAGTTTATTTTTACAACACATCCTATTATGTAATGAAAAAAGATTAATTTTATTAACTGGCGTCCCATACTAAACTGAAAAACATGTGCGATAGTAAAAAGGAAATGCTTAAGTTAATTGGAAGCTATCTTTATTTACTTTCAATTGTAGTATATGATGTTAAGATTCATAGAGAATTTTACATTTTTCATCAACCAAACTCTAAAATAACTCTAACGAGAGGTGAAAATTATCAAATAAAAACATCATGGAGTTTTTAAAGACATGTTCCTGGATGTCTTTGTATAATCTGCAATCCTCCAGCACATAGATTAATACAGATTTATTATATTTTTGGCAATCGTTGCAACCCAGAGGATGTAATTTAATGTCAAATATGTGAATCAAGACGAATAAATGGATTATAATAAGTGCAAAACCTAACCATCTTTGCTAAGCCAAAACCATTATGAAGTACAAAAAACTTGAAAAAGCTAGACATAGCAAATTACCTCAGATGGCCCGACTAACCAGTCGAAGAAAGGAACTGTGAGTGCAGCATTAAACTCTGCCGCCCATTTTGTTGGCGGAAATAATTTCCTGAACTGCAACAACAGCATTATACCTCTCTTATTTGTGGTTCTGGAAAGCAAATTAAAAATGAAAAATAAGAAGCAGGGAATGGTGAAATGATGGACCTGGGCAGGCGCACCTGGAGGAAGCATAGAGAGGAGAACCTCTCGAACGACTTGCTGCTGCTGGATACGAGACCGACGCTGCATTACCCTCCTTGATACATCCACGAAACTCTCATAGTCATACCCCCACTCCCACCAACCCTTCTTCTCTCTACCTTTTCCTCCTCCTCCTCCTGGATCAGCGTATTTCTCCATCTTACGCGCGAACAGACTCATAAAGGATCTCTCGAAAATGCCGTCATTGTAGCGGGTCTTTTGTCCCAGAGGTGCAGGTTCACCTGACGGCTCTGCTATTCCACACCGAATCCGAATCACTCCACGGGCTCTTCTTCCAACACGCAGAGATGGGCATTGGGGTTGGAGAGGACTTGGCTTCACACCCACCAAGCTCATACTCACCATCAATTCCCAATCCTCACTTTCTCAGTTAATACACTCTCTTCCTCTTCCACCGATGGACGCGTATTTATTCCTTGGAGCTTATTTGTTACAGGCCACACGTTCCTTTTCATTATCCTTAATGTCTGGTTCAATGGATATCAACTACTATGTTTTTAATTTATATATTTACAGTTATTTCATATTTGTAAACGATAATAGGGTTTAGTCTTTCGTTGAATATTTATATGATTCAATTCATATTCATATTAATCAAATAATACAGGAAATTTATAACTTGACTTGAAGTTTTAATTTCAAGCTTTAAATGGTCCTTAATTACATAATTAAAGACATATAATCGGTTACTCTTGAAAGTTGACCTTTATATTAAATTAAAACACTTTATTTCACGGTTATTCAACTCAACTCTTTTGTAAACTTAAATATTTCTTTTATTTTTTGTTTCAATTAATTTTTTATAATTATTAAATAATATCATTGGCCATTATTTTTTAAAATGTTTATACCAATTTTAAGTTGTATTATTTTTTAAAATGTTTATATTTTCATCTTGATTTATTATTACACCAATTTGAAGTTGTATTATTTTTTAAAATGTTTATATTTTATCTTGATTTATTATTACACCAATATCAAGTTATTTTTCTTCACATATTCTTAAATGAAGTGAAAACAAATTTCAATATGTTAACATGTTGTCAATTCTTACCATATTTTCATAGGATTATTGTAGGTCCAATTTTCTCCACATATTTATGAGTCATATTGTATATATTATATAACACGCACACTAAAATGTTACTACACATGACTTTACACATATTTAAAGTGTTATTATATGTAACATACTTCACTTTACACATATTTAAAGTGTTATTATTGGTTATTTTTTTTAAGTACATATCCCGATATATTTTTTTCAATCATCTATATCTCTACATAAATTACTATCACAATATCTAACCACCCTGTAATTTTTAGACTATATATAAAATAGGCGAAGTGACTCCATTTATCGAATATATCTCAATATTTGTTTCAATGTCTTCTAATGTATATAGTTCAACTCCTCCGTGAACCAACTTATAATTTCAATATTTAATAATAGATTCAATCACATACTTGTGAGATAATGAAGACTTCTTACTAAGTTTTAATATATGTTTGTTTCAACTCATTTCCTTCATCAAACTTAGAAAATTTCGTATTTGATCATGGGTGCTAAATTTAGATTGTAACGTCATTTTAAACTTATTCAACATCTCATTTGCATATGTTTCTTTAGACACAAATATTCTCATCTCATCTTATCTGTCTTCTAGGATAAGAAAAAACCTCATCAATCCTAAGTACGTCATCTCAAACTCCCTTTTTATTATGCTGTTAAATTATATCATCATTGTTTCTAATTAAGATAAGACCATCCATGTAAAGAACAATAAATATTATTTTACCTTCATTCTTCTTCAAATAAAGAGAATGTTCCTAAGGGTACATTTAAACATGTTATCCTTAAAATAAATATTTATACAAGTGTTCTATACTTGAGGAGCTTACTTCAACCCGTATTGAGTATACTTCAATTTAAGTATTTCTTTTTTCTTTTTTCTATTTTCATGTATTTAATGTTAAACATACAAGGATATGAAGCTTAAAGATTTTGATGATGATTCAAGAGAAAAGGACTTAAAGACTTGAAGACTTAGAATCATGTGTATTTTACTTGTAATAACTTTGTTTTATGTTTTTGAGTCTGTATAATTAGAGTACAAGATAGTCAGCACATAGTCCATCATTTGAAAACTCATTTTTATCAAATTCACTCTGTGATAATCGATTATCACTTAGAATAATCGATTATCCTACACTGAAAAATTGTTTTTCTGAAAACCTTGTTGTGATAATCGATTATCACTCGGGACAATCGATTATCCCAGCTAGATAATTGATTATTTACATAGATAATCAATTATCCTGGTCCTGTTTTACTCCTCTGTGAAAATGACTCTGTAATAATCGATTATCACTTAAGATAGTCGATTATTTACGTCTGTTATGAGTTTTGAAATTCAAATCTGGATCAATTTATGAAAACCCTATTCCCAATTCTTATGTTTTCGAAAATCATCATTTCTCAGACCCTATTCTCTATACTTAAGGTTCTCTAAGGCTCTCTGCAAATTAACAAACCTTTTTCATACAAAAGTTAAGAGTTGTGACTGCTAGAGAACTTTCTATAGGGAAGAAAAAGGGGCTTTTGAAAACCTAGTGTGGGCTAGAAGTGATAAGAATCACTGAGTGGATTTCTTGGTGGATTGTGTGTTGTGCCGTCTCTAGGAAAAGTTATTGTTCATCCTTTGTGGATTCAAATGAGGTGTTTATCTCTTGTGTAACTCAATAGAGGTGTTTTCTAATCCTTATCTTTTTCAATTTGTATTCTGTTGTAACTTATGATTATAGTGACAATGTTAATCCTCTTTTAGAGTGATTAACAACTGGACGTAGGGTCTTTTGATCCGAACCAGTATAAATCATCTGTGTAATCTTCTTTCCCTTTCTCTATTTACATTACAAGTATTTTAATCGTTCAAATTTGGGGAACATTTTTAAAACCCTAATTTTTTATAAGAAACCAATTCACCCCCCCCCCCTCTTGGTTTTTTGTCCCTAAACGCGAACATTTCGCTATGCGATTCTAACAAGTGGTATCAAAACTTGCTTTGATAGTCATTCAAATTACGAAAATGGTCGGACAAAACCAAACATTTGCCGAGGGTGCTTCTATCAATAGACCCCCATTTTTTGTGGGGCAAAATTATCCTTTTTAGAAAGTTAGAATGCAAATATTTTTGGAGTCTGTTGATAGGGGTGTATGAGATGCAATTGTAAATGGTCATTTTATTCCTAAAGTTATTGTAAATGATGTAGAAGAACCTAAACCATTTTTCTAGATGGACGGCTGAAGAAAATAGGAAAGCCCAATATGATGTTAGGGCTAGAAATATAATTTTGTCTGCTTTATCTCTTGATGAGTTTTACAGGATATCTGTTTGCAAGAGTGCTCAAGGAATGTGGGAAATGTTAAGAGTAACCCATGAAGGTACCGATGATGTTAAAAGAGCAAGGAAGAACTCATTAATTCAAGAATATGAGATGTTCTGGATGCAACAAGGAGAAACGATTTTTGACGTCCAAAAGCGTTTCACACATATTGTGAACCATCTCACTGGACTTGGTAAGATTTTTTATACTGATGAATTAAATGTCAAAATTCTTAAATCTTTGGATAGGAAATGACAACCAAAGGTGATGACCATCACAGAGTCACAAAATCTTGCTACCATGACTATGACTACTCTCTTTGGAAAGTTGAGAGAGCATGAACTTGAACTCAGAAGGCTAAACGATGAAAAAGGCCAACATCAAAAGAGAAATCTAGCCTTCAAAGTTGAAGTTTCTAAAAGCAAGAACAAGAAGGAGGAAGAAGACTCAGAAAATGAAGAAGATGAATGTAGACCCCAAATTTTGCCCCGCCTCAAAATAAAGAGCAGAAGACCTTCAACTCGAAGATGGGCAAGGCCTAAAAGGTCCGTAGGATAGACTAATAGGTCCCATATTAGAGTAGGAAGGTTTTTTGTACAGAAAAAATAAGGAATTCCACCTGGAAGGCCAAGACCGCCATCTCACTTGGCAAGACGGTCGTCTCACCATCGACAAAGGGCGAGACTGCTGTCTCGTTTGGGCCTTGTAGTCGATATCTTAAATTTAGCAAATAAATAAAGGGTAAAAGCTTCATTCTAAAGGTCTATGTACGAAATAAACGGCTCATCATAGGGAACCCGAAAGGGGCATCGTAGGGAAGCTACTACCTTCCCTACACGTAACTAACTCCCTTACCCAACTCTATTTATAATGGCCAAAGTTGGTTTTTCAAAATCAACGCCTTCCTTTTTTTCCTTTTCCAATGTTTCCGGATAAAACATTGGTGGCAACTCCAGAACCCATTTTTGAAAACCTCGCTTTTAGGTCCAGCTCGGTTATCAAACAACTTAAAGGCATTGTAACATCACTTTAAAATGCGAGTCAAAGTCAGAAACCATCGCGTCGCTCCAATCGCCTCTTTTGACGGCGGCGAAAAATGAAGACTCCACTGGGGAAGCCTAGAGAGTTGATCCCATTTAGTGATAGACCAATTTAATAAATAAAAATTTTTGCTTTTACCCTGCTTTGTTTTATAACATGTTTTATTTGCTTGGCTTTAATAATTGTTGCTTGTTTATTTTATGCAATTGTTTGAAATACAAATTGTACACAAACCTTTGCACACAACAGTTTCTCCTATACCCGGGGGCAAGTGGGAAATCCATAGGGAGTGGGTGGTAGGTTCGATTTGTTGTAGTGAGGGCCATGAGCCCACTGGATGATCGGAAACCACCACTCAAGGTGATAACCTTTCTCTTTTGGCACAAAGACTGACTACGGACTTAGTGCCATGCATGGTCGGAAGGCTGGAGAGTGGGGACCCTATAATGGGGGCACCTTGGGGGCCTGGCCTTGGTGAGGAAATTTAGAACTACCCTGAATATGCACTCTTTTGCAGGAAAACCCTACCTTGTGATTAAAAACGTCGTCTTACTTGTTCGCGGATGAGTGAATTGTGTGTGCATTTGTTTGTTTCATTTGATTGTTGCATAACATAAACATACAACAGATAAAAATAGAAAAAATCTCAAAAAATCTTTTCGCAATAAACACCTTTATCTCGGACAGTCTACCTTTTAGCTGACCTAGTTTCAGGTTAGCCACGTTGACCTACAAAAGAGATAAAGGGTTAAAATAAATAATAATAAAAATATTACTAACGAAATCTAAAAAAAAAAAAAAGAATTTTGACAAAGTCGTATCATTCATATCGTATCATTTCATAAGCGAAAGAACCAAGAGAGAAAATAAATACATAAGGAAAGTATGCATACGCATCATCTTAATAAATCTCTAAA